ATATATATTCTTTATTTTTAAGTACGATTTGTAAAAAAGTATTGCATTTATTTTTTAATACTATAATTTGACATAGGTTACGGAGAGGATAGAATCTTAAATTTCAAAATTTATTTTCACACTAATATAAAAAGCATTATTAGTATTAATAGCAAAATTAAAGGTTAGGATGAAGATACACTGACAGAATAAATTAGTTGCAATTTAATTGTAATACATCAGGGACAATTATACTTTTAAGTGTTTTTATTATGTCATGATTATAGCATGATTATAGCATGATTTAATGCGGCTGATTAATGCGGCATTATAATCACAGCTATAAAACTTATATGCAATTATATCATATAATTGTCATACTAAAACCTTATAGAAATCCTAAAGAAAATTGTACTACATAAAATATTTTTATATTATATATATTTTTATATTTTATTATATTAATACTTAAAATTATTATAGTTTATGACCCAGTTTTTATAGTAGCTGTGTGTTTTTATAGATCTATGTACATAAAATTATTATTATTAATATAAAAATAATAATAAAAAAAGAACATCCTAACTATAATTATTTTACTATACAATTACTATACAATTATAATTACAAATACAAAACATTTTTTTCTCAGTGTAGAAACTTAAAGTTTGACGTACATAAAATATGCATTATTGAACGGTAAAATATACACTATTAAAATCGTTTCCTTACATATCTCTTACTTCTCCACGAACTTTTTCACGTAGCAACATACAGACTTAGCATTTGTACACAGACGATACCTCGACAATTGCGTCAACCGAGATATCGATTCCGCGTTTGTCGCAGCATCTGTCCCTGAAACATTATCCTCGTTCCAAAATACACGATGTAAATATATTTTCAAGAACTGTGGACCTTGTATATGTGTGTGTGTGGGGGTGGGGGGGGTGATGGGTCAGTGGAACGCGGTATTAATTACACCACTGCACTCATCACGGAAATAAAATTTCGCCGATACGTTTACTCGAACGAGTAGAGTAGTGCATTATGACAAAACCGTTAATTTCGTCGACAACTTTTAATTTTCTAATGCGAGCGATGCGAATACTTCTGCAGACGGGGTGGAGGAAACATGAGGCGGCAGAGAGATAGTTATAGGGGGAGGAGAAAACTCCTGGGAGTTTCGTGTCAACGCGCGCGCGTTTCGACATGGTGTTCACTGACCTCCGGGGCTCACGACCTGTTCTCCTTTTTCGTGTTTCAGATCGCTCCCTCGACAAAAAAGCTCTGGGGCGTGGACGAGGGCGGCTCCAAGGACGAAGGGGGTGTAAAAGGTGGTGGGACCCTGCTTCACCTGGGAGACCACCCGACTACCATGTGGCGGGATTCCACCTGGAGTACAACGTCAGGTACGATTCGCACGCGATGCATCGCATCGCCGTTGCGTCGTCGTCCGTTGGCGGGATTTCGACCCGGTGTGCTTACGACGGACGACGGAAGTGCTTACGAAACTCGAGCACGGTCCGAGCGGAGTAAGCGAAACCATTTAGTTAAGCACAAAGGTCGTAAACAGCCGACACGAAACACCTACGCTCCCGGTAACGAGTATTGTGTGCGGTCCTACACAATTCCGCTTGTGTAATAATACGCGCGATTAAATATACTTTAGCAACATCGATGATAATTTCAAGTAGTTACAACGCCACGTGTGTTGTATAAAAGGAAAGTTTCACACATTACACGAATCCAAGGATCGCTAACGGTTGAAAAAGTGAGTCGTCGTTACGCTAATAAGAATTGAGAATCGAGTATCTTCGCGTAGCGAATCGTTGGAACTTGGTCGTTAGTTTAACGGTCGTTTAACGGAGGAAGCTTGTCAAACTGGACCGGAAAAATCGCTTTCAACATTAAATGTCCGCGCTGATCGATCATAGACCGGATGTCTCTGTTTGCAAAAAGCGATGTATCGGTATAAGAAACACGAGATACGAAGCGATGCCGTATTTTACGTCGTGCAAGCTTATTGATTGATACAGCACTAAAAGAACAACATGTAGATACATATACGCAGTTCACTCGCCATCGCCATCGCCATCGCTATCGCCATCGCCATCGCCTTCCGTTAAGGGAGGGAGGCAGAAGAGGGAGGAGGAGAGGGCACCGCTTTTTCATAGCGCACTCGATCGATTAAATGACAACACAGACTGAAATTGAAAATGTTTTTGAAGATTCTTTTTGTATCATTTTTACTTCAATTCTCTCGAGTAGAATTTATTTTGCCGTTTTGTCCGTTGATACATTGTTTTAAATATTCCATAACGTTTTACGAGATTTAAACGGTTGTTATTTGAAGAGTAGAGACATTTTGGAAACTTTTGCTTATCTTATTTTAAAAATGTATTTATCCAATTTGAATGCGGAGGAAATATTTTTAAAAAAATTTTACGAAATTTTGTAACATATTTAGATATTGTTATTTTTCCAAAAAAATCATTAATTCTAATATTTGATCATAATTAAATTTAATTATTTGATATAATGATGTTTTGATGTGATGATTAATTTAGTTGTTTGGTCGATTACACGCGTGATACGTTAATGAATACAAGTGATGCAATTACATATACAAATACATGGTTTGACAAAAAAGTTCCGAGACTGGCAATATTACACGCATTGATGTTATTGTGTCATATGTGTGACATGATAACAGAAACATTTTTTTCGATTGTGCGTCAAACTTTATCAAAACGTCACCATGTTCAATCATATATGTCAACACATAAATTTTTTAATTTTCATAAAGAAATTTCATATAATAACAGAAAAAAATTCTTTTCCTTGATAACTTAAATAAAACAATTTTAAATTCTTAACAGATTATTTGGAATGACCAATGCGTTAGTCGTTCCCTTCGGTCGTAAAACACACAATCATATTATCATATATTAAATACTATCGGATCCTATCTAATACATAATACTTACAGAACAATATCAATTTTTATATGAATATGAAATTACACTTTTACGAGAGCATAAAATATTAAAAATCTGATTCTGTTGAGAAAAAAAAAGAGAGATCATAAAACGGAAAAAGTATCACCCATTATAAAGTTTATTTAGAAATAGAAAAAATTTTTTTAGATTAGAAAATATTTCTAGTTCTGTGTATGGTATATAATATTAAATTTTTATTAAATTTTATTATTATAGTTACTATATTTTCGATATGTAAGAGTTTATAAAAGATTTGAAGATGATTTTAAGTAATTAGCGGCTTAATATCAATATGCCGACGAGTCTTTGAACTTTTAAAGCCCTCAAAATGGAATGCTAAAAGAACGTTTAAATGCGACGCGTACTTTTTAAAAATGCCTTTAGGAAGCGCACTGAACAGATATATTATTATAATACTATATCGGATATCACGATATTTTGACATTTGTTAATTTATAACCAATGAATACTTTTAAATCGTTATATAGATTTTTGTCTCGAATATTTTCATTGATTATTTCAACAATCATGCAATCCATTGATTTTCTTATTTTTAATTTTCTATATTTATAAACACAAATGTCTGTCAGTTTCTGAATTATGAATACACAAATATCTACATGTGATTTGTTCGATCAGAAAATACCTAATGAATGTATATAGGCAATAAATATACAAGACTTATACAATGTTCGATATATATATTGGGTGTGCACGAAATATCTGATTTTTTGAAAGTGGAGGAGTATATGTAGTCAATAGTGACTACAGAAGTAATGGTGAGAGTAAATCTGGCTACAGCTACAGTCTACAGTTGTGATCACGATTGTGGTTACGGCTGCGGCTATGACTGTGGCTGCAGTTGTGGTTGTAGTTATAATTATAATTATGACGATGGCTATGATTGTGATTGTGACTGTTGCTGCGGTTATGGCTATGGCTATGCCTATGGCTGTGACAGTGGTTGTGGCTGTGGCTGTGGCATTGGCAACGGTAGTGACGATGACAGCCACCGCCATATATGCGTCACATCACGATGGGTGCAACGCGGCTGTTACCATGGCGACAGACGCCCGGCATCAGAGGCGGCGGTAGGGGCAATGTCCCAATGTCCAGGATCGTACCTACTGATCTACCCCGTCAGCGAGCACCCCAACTGATCGTCCACCTGGGCCATCGCGCCGTTGTATTGGCCCGTTATGTGGGGTGGCGCGCGTGAAAAGATGGAAAAAATTTCTCTTTATACAGGAACCCCCAATAGAATCTCGTTCGATAATGCTCATGGTCGCAGCTGCTCGGTGGTGGCAAATTACTCTTTGAATAAATTTTACTCGTCGTTCTCTTTGTTTTTCTTGCTTTTTCTATATTAATAGAGTTTCCTTGATGAGTTTAAATGGATCCTTTCCTTATCCATGTGAAATAAAAAATTAAGTTTGTCAAAATATATTTTAAGAACTAATTTAATATTATTGCAATGAGATTAGACATCTTAAAAATTGAATATTTTTAAAAAATGAAAATTATTTTTATTATTTTAAATAAACTGTAGAAAACTTTGTAACACGTGTTCACCTTAAAACATGAAATGTCCCCTATTTCTCACACGACACGTTTCTGTAAGATGCAAAAATATAATGAATGATAAATGATAGAAACGCGTGAGAATGTAAAAATAAAAATTGC